TGCTCGTGCTTGAATCGCTATCACCGTTTAAGAGCTCTGATATTTTAGTGGCCTTTTTTGGGTCTGACGGCTCCGTCAGTGTTTTCCGCAGGGGACTACTACAGGCCTGAAATAATTGGGTTTTCGGTAACAGTTACGTTGGTCACCCACCTTTGATACCCATAGCTCCTAGTCCTGTGATCGCTTTTACTTTTATCAGTACTTAGTTTAATTTTGGTGTAGTAAAGTTTGTACTTTAGTTAGATACCGTCAACGTTAGATAAATATACTTAAATATCTACTTTAACTAAGCTAAACAAAGCTAAAATAAAACTAGACTGAACCAAAATTAAACTAATGAAATAAATGATAAACTAAAAGTAATCTAACTAATACTACTAGTCCCGTAAGGCAGAATTCTGGGGCTAGGGGTATCAAATGTGGACGACCAACTTAATTGTTACCGAGTTGTCTAACGATGTTCAACCGGGTTTGCTTTAAGACACTGAAATTAGGAATTCAGTCGAACAATTTTCCTTACACTTCCGGAGAGAGTATGACAGAGTTTCGTTTTCGTTGCATAAGTATTTGAATATTAACCTCCTGGTTTCTCCATCTATCTACCTACCTCCGTCTTGATCATGAGCCACTTCACTTCCGACAATGAGTGAACTTAACGGACCACCCTTTTCCATTGCATTACCCTCTTTGTAGAGAAGTCCGTTAACACGAAAGTATGCGCTGAAAATACTCCCTTTGTTAGAATTGGTCAATCGCCGGTGGGAGGGGGGGGGAGGAGGGGTTGGCTTTCTCTGCCTTTCACGCACGCCTCCTTTTTAATCTTGCAGACTTTGCCCTTTCGCTTTTCTTTGCGTGACACCCTACGTCCCCTTAACTATCTAGTGTTTTTCTTATCCGATATAGCTGATGGATGACCAAAATGAGAACTTTGTCATCTACAAGGACGAAAACGAATTTGAGGAGTTTAACCGGGAGGGTGAGTATTTCGTGTAATTCCTCTACTTTCAACTCTGGTCTCCATGACTGGTCAGTTAGTTGCATTCACATTTTGTTTGATTCTCCTCTTTCTAGAGTTAACATGCGAATACTAGTAGTAGGTTTAAATGACACTGGGGAAAAAATCCAGTGTGTTTCGCGATGCCTCTCTAAATGTTTTTCAAACAAAAACTGATAGTAAAATAGACTTATTGACTTCGACTCGGTAACCAACAGTCACTGCGCATTAGTATTTTGAGTTGCGGCCGCGCTGCTTCTTTTTCTCCTTATGATAAAGTGTCTTTACCGCTGCTCACTAATTCCATTAGTGTGAGATGTCTTCTTTCAAGCCCAGAAAGGAACCACAGGATCACTTCTTTGTAAGTCAGGGATACATCTCCACGGCATATAACACGTCTTGTTGAAAATTAGTGCAAATTGAGGCAGGAGTGCAAGGCAATTAAACGCACACGCACAGTGATCGGCAGCCTATTTTGTCTTTATAAATAAGTTCTCTTTCTCATAAGTTACTACCTAGCATGTATTGACGGTCACATTGGTTTTTGAGAGGTTACTAACTTCCAGTCTTTTCTTTGGAAACCTCTCACGCCCTATAAGCACAATGCCCCGTGTGAAGTTTGGCTGGATGTATTCGTTCCACTTTGACTGAAACCTGAGTGAAAAAGTCCTGACGTAAACGGTAAAAAAGTGATATGACCATTTGTTACAGATAGTGATACTTCATACAGACCGGTAATCTCCATCGCTGGTCCCCGGAAAGCATCGGTGATTTGATTATTTGCATTTAAAGCGGGCTTTCCAGAATCAAACTCTTCCTACGCCAATCTTATTCCGCCTGCAACAGAAGTTTCTGGAAATTTTAGACCAATGTGAGGGGTCGCCTGCATCTACGTGTTCAAGCCTGCTGTTTTTCATCAACTCTTCGATGTTATATCGATGAGACCTATCAAGGGGCCAAAGTCAGAAGGAGCCGTCGTGACTTCGATCAGGGACCAAAGTGTCGTGCTAATTTACAGCTTTCCAAGCTCTTGCATTTAAGATACCGTGGTAGCTCAGAAACTCATTGCCTTCATTATTATAAGGAATGGTCACGCATATGTAGTCGCCCCCACTCGCTCTTCCTTCGCCCCTTCTTTCCTAAGCCAGTAGACTGCTAGTGGCATTTTTCTGTCAACAAAATAGCTGACGTCGTAACCGGACTTGTCCTAAAGCGTCGGACTTGGGGATTCTACGGCAGCATAATGGGTGGTCTTTGTATTATCCTAATCTGACCTCCCTTTGCCTTTTAGAGTGGACGCCGAACGAGGAGGATGCCAGTGACCTGAAGGTTTGGGATGAAACCTGGGACCAAAATGATATCGAAGACAAATTTACCGATGAGTTGAGGTCGGTGTTTTCTTACCACTGTAGCATTCAGTTATACTTGATAGTGCTTTATTCTCTTATCCCTCGTGTTATAACGGTAGCCAAAACTGCGATATTCCCGTCTGACTAACGTCTCGTGTGAGCTCCGAAGGAAGGACAAAGCAAGAAGCGTGCAGAAAGCGGAAGTCTTTGAGTGTTCTGTGTACAACAAATTTAGGGAAACAAGCGTATGTCAACGATGTCCCTTGAACCAATAAGATTCTCTCCTGAGGTAGTGGCCAGTCCCATTGGTTGTTGGCTCAGTGAGTGAATGCAGCTAGAAATTCAAATTATCGATTGATTGTCTAGCTCGCGCATAGGCCGGTCGATAGCCTAATGTGGACGCGGCTATGGTTTGCAAACTACTGCTTGCGAAGGCTGTTGTTAGGCCGCCCTAATACCTCTTCTTATTGTTCCCACACGCTGGCTTTACATTCCTTCTGAGAAGAAGTTTGTGTCCGTTAGGCTGTCTGGAGCTCACTCCCGGCTTCTCTTCATTGGTTTGGTCGCTATGTGCTTTTTGCAAAATTGTCATGTTTTGAGTTGGTGCTTTCATGCCAACACGTTGTCCGATACTCCGTGTTAATTTAATAGTTGGTGATTAAAAATTCGGCAACATCAGTGAGGTTCGAAGACACGACAACAAAGGTACGAATTGGGTACAGCCAACAGCCCTCACGAATGATGCTTTAAGACGGATGTCCTGCTTCTTACGGCGGATCAGCGATCGCCTGAGGACCACTCGACTGTCACGTAGTTGTGAGAAATTTGTAATAGGCATTAGCGCTTAACCTGCACCAGTAAAATGCCCCGATTATTTAAAAGACTCCACAAACACCCACGTCATCATCGCAGCTGTGCCGAAAGCGGGTGAATTAATTGGCCTCGGAGACTGAAACGTTTGTATATGCATAGACCACGCCGCACTACAGAGTCAGCAGCCACAACAGCATTGGCTTCCTTCTGCACACAAAGGACACAGTCTTCTCGTCCCCAACACATGCTTACGCACTTAACAATGAGAAAATGCAACACGGGTACAGCCACGTTCGCGCTACTGGTAACCGCTGGACTACGGCCTCGTCGGAAGACGCCCCCACCACGGTGTACAACTAACAAAAGTGCTGTGAGTTACGAAGTACTGTACTGATTAATGCCTAGTCCTGTCAAAACTGGGACTGCAACGCTGACA